ATATATCACCCGGAATCGATCAGTTGAATGGAATCAAATGGGATTTAGCTCTTTGTCTGGCCATTAGTTGGATTATTGTCATCCTTTGCCTCCTTAAAGGTTGAATCACTTTCTAATATACTGTATACAGTATTGCCATTAAAATGATGATTAAATGAAACTTTCATTCCCTAGGAGTAAAAACAAGTGGAAAAGTAGTATATTTTGCAGCAACTTTTCCCTGTAAGTTAGCTTCTCCTTATATTAACTATTATTACCTATTAACTATTATTAGGTTACTATTATTAACTATTATATACTAACTCCTCACAATTATTGTCCGATGAATTAATTCTGAAAATTTAAAATAATTCAGACGTTATCCTAATCTCACTGTTAATCGCTGGTGTCGTACAAGAGGGTGCCTGGGAAGGTATGCTTTCATATAACATGCAATACATAGAATGTATATAAAGAACTATAGTTAAAATATAATTTAATTTTTGCTAGGAATCAAATATTTTATTGTGCCTCAATGGGATAAACTATTGGAAATCAAGGTATTTTGAATGTATACATCGAGAAATTAACGTTTAAAATGTAAATCTAAAGGTATGGCAGGCAGCAGCCGGACAAATGTTCTTTAGCTTAAGTGTAGCCATGGGAGGGCTTATTATGTTTAGCAGCTATAATGACTTTCGGCACAACATTTTCCAGTAATTATTTACTAGAATATTCTTACTTTAAATATACCTATTAATTATTACTATATTAATTTTAAGAGATGCTATGATTGTCAGTGTTTTGGATACAATCACTTCAATAATCGTGAGTTTATGATATCTGAATACAGTATTGTACTTAATATTGTATTTATATCTCACAGTATTTTTAATTTTGATTACATTGATAATATTATTTCTAACGTTTAAAAACAAATTTTATAATAGTCCGGATTAGTTATATTCTCAGTGTTGGGGGCAATGGCACACGATTTAGGACCAGGTGTGAGCGTGACTGATGTGGTCAAAAGTGGCCCTGGTCTAGTATGTTAAGTAAATTCTGAATGGTCATGAATTAATGTGCAAGTTTTTAGGCATTTGTCACATATCCTGAGGCACTGACTCGACTCCCATTCCCACAAGTTTGGTCCGTTCTCTTCTTCTTTATGTTGTTTACATTAGGTCTCGAT